GATCCATCCTCTTGAATTTTTAAGTTTTTATTACAAAATTTACATATCGCAATTGTAATTAATCCATCTTTATCTTTTTTTTTTCACAAAATAGTTCCACACAAATAATCTGTAAATAAATACTATATGTTAATACATAATATAATCTAATAGTTAATTTTTTGATATATTACCTTGTATATTTAGAAGATTTACTAACAGCTTTTGCAGATATTGATTCATTATCATTAAATTCATCGTAAGCCATGCTTGTCAGCCCCTGAGCTTCATCACAAGACAACATATACATTAGTTCCTGAGCTTCATCACCAGACAATATATCCATTGGTTCTTGCGTTTCATTATAAGATAATGCAGATGGGCTCGACATTATTGGTTAATAAAGAGTTTCCACCAAAGTTTTCCTTCTCCTTCAAAGTAAAAGACAGTGGTTTTATTCAGGTAGCTCCCACCAATATTTTTCCACCTTAAGTCAACGTAATTAAAAAAAAAAAAAAAAAAAAAGTTTACAGTTTTCTTGCAAAATGTTTCTATGCTATTTGTCATAAGGGTTAAACGTTATACTGTTTTGTTACAATCACTTTACTAAAAACTTCGTTCTCCTACACCTGGCTTCTCTTTTCTCTGACAACGTTACTATTAGTTTGGCACAGGTTCTTACAAGAAAAATCAGTATTTATTCACACATTTATGCACAATTATATAACTATGACAGACTCTATAGATAAGCTTTTAGATTACACAAATTGTTATTGCTTATCTTACATACCCACAAAAAAAGATCTGAACAGATCCGGTATTTTTTATGGGTACATATAAATTTAGCAAAGGATATCATGTACAGTTTTAAATTCGAGTATCCTTTGTAAAATGCTACTTTACAGCTGTTCTCTTAAATTTTTGGACATCTGATAAAAAATTGACTGAATAATTGTTTTGCCGATTCGATAAGTTTGAGATTTCGGTAATAAGTGATTATGTAATAATCATTATACATATATTAAAACTTTTAAATCTATATTAAAAATTTTATCACTGCTGAATTACAAACTTATCGAATCAGCTAAACAATCATTCGGTCAATTTTTCATCAGATGTCCAAAAATTTATGAGAATAGCTGTAATACCCATAAAAAATTCTGGATCCATTCAGATCTTTTGCACATAGTACCTGATTATTGTGCGACTAATAAATTGCATATTACCTACCAGGTCGGATCGGGTATTATCGGTTCGGGTTCATATCAAAACCTGAAGCAATTAGTTCCAGAAAACTATAGATTCAATCCGATCCGTCAGGTCAGTTCCGGGTTGGTTCTGGGTCTCGGTTCAGATCCATCGAACACTACAAGCAAGGATGAGCTAAGTTTACTGAAATTTTCCAGAAGTAAGGTGTTTGTCAGCCATTAGCCAGCCGATTAGCCGATATTTTTGTCAGCTGGCTTAGCCAGCCGACTAAAACCTTACGGCTTAAATCACTACGGTCGCCTCTAGAAGTGTAACGTGATGCAAATCACTATGTAAATCCAATATAGTGTGAATCTAAAAAATTTCTACTGTTCGTCCAAAGAA